GCAAGTCATCTGACAGCACATTGACCACTGTATATAATCCGCTGCTGCAGATGCATCCTCCTACCTTGACACAAAACCTGTCTGACGAGCGCAATTACCGAGGCCACAGTGACGACAGGGACATTCCCATGGACGACGACGAGATGTTCAGGATGGATCAATAATGACGTGCGACACGACTGAGCCGCCGAGGCAACCACATCCGCCCGATCCCTCCGACGACGGTTATTTTCTACACTCATTTAGGAAGATTTTCCCCCATTACTTTACTTATCGTGTGTATTTCTTGACTACGAAAACCCCAGAAAACAGAAAACGCCGGATGCAGGACTCAGTGCTAGCAGTTGGAGGAAGTGTTTCGGATGATGTCTCGAGGGTGATCGGTATTGGAACGATGATACCTATGTTCTGGAGAAGAAAACCCATATAACATCCGCGCTCCGCAAGACAGATACCTAAAAGCACCGATGAGTCGACTCATACACGTGCTACGAAGTCGACGAGGTTAAAGTGAGTGGGACTGTCGGACCTATGCGTTGAGCAGGATACAATTACTATAACGAAATGAGTTTCATTTACATGTACAAGCGCACAGGAAGCGTGCAGACGCTCTTCGTCATCTGGAGATCCCTTCGGTGAATTGATTGTTGTTTCGCACACCGAGGGCTCTAGTGCCTCGTGTCCTTGCATGCCCCTACCGCGACTTGACCAGGACGCCTGCCGGTCAAATCGCCCAAAGTTCTAAAATCACCACCCCGCCCAGCTGGGATCGGCGGGATTGACCAGATCTAATCCATGGCGTGAGATTTGCAGTGCTATCTTAGGATGGCCCGCACAGGCGTAGCACTTCGCTGGCGCTGTGCTGATCAGGGGCAATTAACCTTTACAATCAATCTCATCAGCCGCGTAGACCCGATGATATGCATCGCCGCTTACTCGTACACTATTTGAGCCATTCGGGTGTTTGATGATGTAAGTAGTCGTATGTTTTGCATATTGACACCTTGGTGACAGCGATCAGCAACACGCATGGGGACCTTGCTGCTCCAGTCGATCCAAAATCCTTCACAGATCAACCCGAGGTTCTTCTTACTCTGTCCATTCCTGGAAAGAAGGTCTCGTTAGCATGATGTAGACGACAACTCTCAGCACCCCAAGCCCACACGATCCATCGGGTACGAGTAAGATTCAAGCAAAGTGCCACGCTCATTCAGAGATCCTTGCTGTTGTCAGCGGAAAGCGCAATGCAATTCTTCCTGGCACAACCAGATCTAGCACCGAAGTTCAGCCAGTCAAGGCCATGACGACGAGGGTTGAGCTGAGCCTCATAATCCGGTTCGAGGTACAATATAGGGAGTCATCATTCTGTCCGTATGACTTCGTGTACGGAGTTCCTTTCTCGTTCTTGTCACCCACACCATCCAGGCGGATGCGAATGGTCGCGCCAATGACGTACCGAAACAGCTTAGAGCCAGACTAATTGCCTTCTCATGAAATCATGCAGCCTCGACAATCTTGCATCCTGATCTCATTCTCGAAGCCATGATCGTTCTCCGGCTCCATCACGCTTGCAGTAGACTCGTTTGATATCCGAAGTTCGTGTTAGACCCTTCCCAAGCCTTCTATCGAGCGGTGCCGTCCCTCCCAGCCTTGTCGGGTCCCGTCACCGGTTGAGACCGTTCTTTTGCTGACATTACATCACGGGCACGCGACCTTCTCACACGGTCGCTTCCAGCGCACATTTGACTCGGTTCTCCGAAAAGCGTCAAAGTGTGCTAATCAATCGAGTCACCGCCGCTTGTCCATCGTCAGGCCCGCGCCATGCCCCTCAAAGCCGCGGAGATTATCTCCCATCCCGCGTTCAATACCGTTGAATGGGAGTTACCGCCTACCAAGGAAGGCCACGCCGAGGTCGCTAAAGGACGAGCTGGAGGTCCGTTTAAGCTTTTCTATGAAATTCATGGACAAGGACCTGTCAAGCTTGTAGTAGGTGCTTTCAAAATTGTCGAGCCGCTGTTTACCTTGTGTGCAACGAAGCAGGCTGGCTCCTGTGGAAAAAGTGCTGAGGAGGAGGTGCCTGAAGATGAAGCGAGCTCTACCTTGGCCGAGATCTCAATGGGCCTTGGGTACAAATGCTTTGGGACTCGCTATCGCCTCGAGGCATTTCTCGCCAGATGCGGTTGTTGCAGAAGCTGCGAATCAACACCAGCCTCAGCACCTGCAATCCTTGTACCATTATCGTTGTAGGTCTCGGTCTCTGCCGCTCTCTCATCTGACATTTTTTTTTCGTAGTGGATAATGGGCCTGGGCGCCTTTCGTACAGCATGGAAGCGCCAAACCAAGTATTTCGGTCACGACCGGTCGAGCCAATACTCCTGCTTGATCCTTGACAACCGTGGCATGGGCCTCAGCGACAAACCGTCCTGTCGCTACTCGACCTCCGAAATGGCCCGCGATGTGATCGAACTATTGCAGGTCGCCGGCTGGTTGCCGTCACCGTTACCGTCTTCAACTGCATCCACAAACACCTCCCCGCCGGGCCGGGACCTTCATATCATAGGCATCAGCATGGGCGGCATGATCGCGCAGGAACTCTCCCTCCTGATCCCTAACTACATGGCCTCTCTCTCCTTGATCTCCACGGCGCCGCGGCTGGTGCGCACGATCCCGTTCATCGAGAACCTGCGCAACAGGATCAATATGTTCATCCCGCGGGACATCGACGTGCAACTCGAGGAGATCGCGCATCGTTTGTTCTCGAACGAATGGCTCGCCCAAGAGGATACCGAGAATGAGGACCCCACCAAGAATTTCCCCACGAATCGCGATCGCTTTGCCGCGGGAGAACTGCAGAAACGGATGGATAAGGCGGGCTTCACGCGCAAAGGGTTCACGCTCCAGGCGATCGCGGCGGGCTGGCATTTCAAATCCGCCGAGGCCATAAAACGGATCGGCGACGTCGTGGGCAGGGAGAGAATCTGCGTCGTACATGGCACGCAGGACCGGATGATTGATTTCCATCATTTTGGCATGTTGAGGGAGCAGCTTGGCGGAGAGGACGGAGGGGCGCAGTACAAGATCTGGGAGGGCAAAGGTCATGTCCTCGTGTGGGAGGTTGAACACGAGTTCAATATGTTCCTGGAGGGCCGCTTTGAGAAGTGTGAGTCGATGAACAGGTGAAGTTTTGACGACTCGATGTATGTCGTCACCGGGTGGCCATCTAGGCTGTGATGAATATCTAGGTAGAGTGAACTCAGCGACCCTTAGCAGACATGATTATTGCTTCGTGTTGTATGGTTTTCGGCGGAGAATTTCTCGTCTACAGTTCCTTGGCCATTATTTGTCCGAGTACTTTTCCCTCTCGGTGCTTTGGCAATCCCTCTGAGCTCTCGGAGAAAGTACACTGTTGTTCTGTCGATAGTAGACACGAGTTTGATTGGTACTAAGACCTCGGCGGTTCGATGAAAGACGTTCGGGGCTTGGTTCCATGTTGGGGAGTCCCCAGTCCTTATATAGAAGCCGATATTCTCGCGACCGGAATCGAAGAAATCCTATCATGAGAGAATCCTCTAATTCCGCCTCCTTATGTTCTTCTTTTCTCCCTCACAGGCTCGACTCGAAAGAGTTCCAAATAACATACACATATCGAGAGGAGATACCTTCTTAATTCTCCAGTCATCCTCGACCAGCCCAGACTCTAATGTATCGCTAAATGAGTCCGAGAGCGCGTGAAAAGCCGCCATGTGGCTGTTCACCCGCATGCAATCCGGTCCTGAAACGCCTGCGCTATGCGTTGCCAAAATCACAATCCAGCCCAGCTCATAGTGTACATCCTTCGGAATCAGCCTGTCTTCAGCCTGTCTTCAGCCCGCCTGCCTTCAGCTCGCCTGCCTTCAGCCCGCCTCCAGCCTGCCTCAACTTCGAGGACCTTCCCTCTCCAGAAGCTCTTTCGCCTCATTAACCTTACTTGCCAAATACGGGCTGCCCCCTCGATCCGGATGATTTGATAGCATGAGTGCTCGATGATTCTTGCGGATTTTATCTTTCGTCAACGTTCGTTCGCTCAGGTCGAGGATCAACGACGCTTCTCGTTTGGTCATCTTCGGCTCGAAGCCGCCTTTGTAAAAAGGTCGGCCGAGTGCGTTGAGACCATTGGGATTGCGGTAGCGGCGGAAGGCGACGAGCCCGGCGCGACCCTGGAGGATACGTTAGTCCAGAACGAGGAAGAGAGGAAGAACAGCCGTACGAAGAATGCTGCGGCGGCGATACCGACGCCGATGGCTAGAGTGGACGCCATTGCTATGGAAGCCGAGGTTTCAGGCTGAGCGAGAGACGCGAGGGAGAGACTCTCTCAGGAGTACTGAGTCAACCGCGAGGATGGTTGACGGATGTACGGAGGTATGTGCTTGTCGTGTCGTTGTCGCAGGAAAAAGATTCGCCGTCTGGCAACGCCCCGGCTATGTTGCTCCATTGGGCGATGCCGATGGGGCAGGCAAGACTTGCCCATCTGGAGCGCCTCGCCTTTAGTTGCCATTTCACAATGTCGCCCAGGAACTATCAGTGGAACTATCAACAGGGCAGCTTTTACGACCTGCCCGGTTGTCTCAACGACAGCTCTAGTTTGCTCCCTCTAGTCCCTCGTCCTCGGTGTCCTTGGGCAGATCCTCCCTCTGATTTGGCTCTGCTGCATGATGTGTGCTGTCTCGGAGCCATTCGCGCTGCGTGTGGGCGCAGGCGCAGGCTGACCCTGCATGAGCTAAGCTATCGGTCCAATCGTGCCAGCACGAACACGTTGTCTTTCAGCATGAACAAGGTACCGACAGCCAGATTCTTCGACGTACAGGTGGGGGAGATCATGCGAGTGGGACGGGGTTCTCCCAGCTCCCGAGGCGTAAAGGATCCCTGGAGATTTCACGTTACACAGCTTTTGTTTCCATCCCCCCCCCGTTCCTGTCTTTTGCCTGTCGAGCACAACATCTCTTTGGTGAGCAGTTGCAAACATGCGTGTTGCCATCATTGGAGCCGGGCCGGGAGGCCTAGTGACTCTAAAATACCTCCTGGAGGCTAGTCAGCGGTTCCACGTCGCGCCGATCGAAGCCAAAATCTTTGAAGCCCAGGATGGCATTGGAGGCACCTTTCGCTACCGCACGTACCCGGAAGGCGAGGTGAGCTTATATTCCCTCACCGCCATGGTGATGGACAGCACTAACTCTCAAACAGATGGTGTCGTCAAAGTTCTTGACTACCTTCTCCGACTTCAGAATTCCCAAGGGCCGCTTCCCCAGCGGCGACAACGATTTCCTCCAGCTGGAAGAGTATGTCGACTACCTCGAGGACTATGCCGATCACTTCAAGTTGCGGCCACATATCAACCTGAAGACCAGGGTGACGAATGTACGACGCGCCAAAGGCGGCAAGGGCCATGTCGTCACGTACACTTCACCGGACGGAAGAACTGAGGAATGGGCCTGCGATGCGGTTGCGGTGTGCACCGGGTTGCACGTAGAAACCGTTGTGCCGGACATTCCGGGTATTGAGAAGGTGCCTACGGTGCTGCATTCCTCGCAGTATAAGAGCCGAGAAATCTTCAAGGAGGGCAGCAATGTCGTAATTCTCGGGGTGGGCGAGACGGCAATGGACATGGCCTACTTTGCCGTGACTTCTCCTGTCAAGACAGTGACGCTTTCCCACCGAGGCGGATTTGTCCTGGCACCAAAGGTACGCGGTTTGTTTTCCATACGGAAAGCTCGTTAGATGACCCGTTCTTCGCAGCATGTCGAACGTTTTGTCGTCAATGGCGAGCAAGAACCAGAGCATAATGCCTCTCCGGTTGATACGAACTGGAACAGCCTGTTCGACACGGCGTATGCGCACCCGAAGCTGAGGAACCATCGTTGGCAATGGCTTTTTTACGACTGGTGGACTAAAGGCGTTTGGGTATTGCTCAACAATACGCGTTATGGTTATGGCCAGCATGCTGGGATCATTAAAGGCTATCACATGTCTGAAGGTGCGTATACTTCCGCCTGTCCCACGTCCTCCTCCGGCCACTGATCGTACCAGTCCTCTTTGTCAAGTCCACCAGAATACAGCCGTACTTCAACAGGCGTTACCATACGTACGGCAAATTGGGGCAGTGGAAAAACAGCAAGATCGACCTCCCAAGAATCGATCAAACCGAGCGGAGCGTCGAATTCGCCCCATGGCCCGAGTATATTGACAATGAAGGCATTATCCATTTCCAGAAGAACGACTCTGTGGAGTCAAAATACATTGAGACGGTGAAGATCAAGCCGGATGTCATAATCTTCGCGACCGGCTACAGTCATTTATCGTTTCCGTTCTTGGGCCCTGGCTATCCCGATTCCAGGGATGCTAATGTTCGTTCCCTCTGGAAGGAGGGCGATGAGACCATTGGGTTCATAGGCTTCATTCGACCGCAGCTCGGTAAGTACTCAGTTGTGAAGTGGTGGCTCGTCTCTTCATGATGACTACATGCTTACCACGGACTCATGCCAGGCGCAATTCCACCTCTCGCAGAGTTCCAAGCGCAGCTCTGGATCCTCCGAATCCTCAACCTCCTCCCCGAGTCGAACCTCCGGCACCTCTCCCCATCGTACGACCCGGACGCCGAAGAGTGGTACAAGCTGAAGCCCCGCGCCGGCGCACGCGTCCGCCACGGCGTCGATCACGAATCCTACGCTTACCAGCTCGCCCTGGACATGGGTGCCGCACCATCTATCGTCGATGTGCTGAAATACGGTAGAAAAGTCTTCATCGCGTGGGCCTTTGGCGCCAACTTCAACACCAAGTTTCGACTCGTTGGCCCGTGGAAGTGGGACGGTGCTAAGGAAATCATGAGAACCGAGATGTACGAGTTGATCACAAGGAGACCAGTTTTCTGGGGTGAGTGCCGCATTTCGTCCATCTCTCTCTTCTCTCTGCAGGGTAGAGCCTCGAGTAACCGGCATGGGATGAAATTATTCAATAAAGAAGTCATGCTTGCTCATTTGTCTTTAAACCCCCTGGCTCCCACAGACACTGACGCAGCTGCACGCTCAATATAGGACACATCATGCTCAACGCTCTGCCAATGGCGATATTCGGGCCCCTCAGCCTGCTCTACTGGATCTTCTTCACCTTCTACGAGCCCTTCCTGAAGAGACTTGGCTTGGGACTGTCGAGAAAGCCTCCAAAACGCCAATACATCAAAGGCCACGCAAGGACGCCGTCCAAGCAGGTCTAGGGGCGAGCCGGCTGGACTGACTACCCGACAAAGAGACTTCCATACGTACATACGCACATACAATCAGACACATGGACATACAAACTTACACCTCAGGTACCTCGTAGGTACTACATACGTGACGACGCGAAGTATGACGACAAAGGACGACACCAGGCGAACACGGCGCATTTGGAAACCCCAGACATTACGAACTTGAGGCGTGCATGCATGTAAGCGTCTGTATCCGTTATATGGATCTAGCATACCTAGGTACCGAGATACCTAGGTACTTCTCTCACAGCATATTCAGAATGAAACGCACGCCTATTCTATTGCAGGTCAGGTGGTTTGCTTGGTCTAGTTTAATCGAGTGTATTTACCGCAGTATAGCTACAGCAGGTATCAAGGTCAAGATCAATATCAAAGTCAGTATCAATATCAGTATCAGTATCCTGATCTAACATCTGATATCAGAGTCGTGGTGGCAGGAGGCCTCCCAGTATTCCTACCACTTAAGGTTGCCGGGCGAGAGGTGCTGTCTTCCATAGCTACAGTAGCTGGTGGCTGCATTCTAGACTTGCAATCAATCGATTATACATTCATCAGACTAGACGGACACCTAAAGGTGCACTTCTAGCAAGAGTGAACCGACAATGTAAGAGGATTATTTCCCGGATCAAACGCCCTAAAGCCACACAGCTGTACAGCTGTACAGCCTTGCAACACTTGGGTCTCAATCGCTGACTCGCCGAAGATGACAACAACACGGTCAATTCGGTCTCGAAATGCGTCGTCGGTAATGTAGTTTTGTGCACAAAGCCACTTGCGAGCACAGATCAAATGTCAACCAGGACGACAGAACAGGATGATGCATTCCACAACGGCGGTCCCTCGACCTGGTTTAGAGAAGGTCGAATGCCCTGTGCTGCCAGATGGACGGACGTCTCCGTAGGGCGACCTGCGTGACCATGATGACAGAACAGGAGGGCCTTCAACAATAGCTCCTTTGCCGTCCCGCCAAATGGGTGCCCCTGTAGGCCACCCGCGCGACCATGGCAAGAGGGCTGGACTGGATGGAATGGATGTTCGAAGTCGATCGGGGAGATACTGTGTTTCCCGTCCTGAAGGATTCCTCGTGTAATGGAATTTTTTCGAAATCGCTCGAGCCCAGCCGGGTTTTCTGAACCGATATTGACGTGTCGGCGGCCGACAAAGTAGATATGCCGCAGTCGCTTTTCGCTCGCCTCAGCGATACTCCGACCCAATGCGGAAATAAACGCAGAGAGTGGTCGTTGCAATCCAGGTGTGGAGAAATCCTGGGGTTCCCCAGGCGTCACGCAGAGCTCGTTCAACCATGGTACGTTCCATTCGCCGCGGTGGTCGAAAGTGTTAGAAGGCGAATGGCCCTGTCAGAGTGCTTTGTCATAGTGATAGACACGAATGTGCTCGTCAGTGTGCTTTGACTGAATGGAAACTCTCGGTGGCAGGTCCACGGACCGGTGGCAAGTGGGAGCGAGCTTCAGCAAAGAAGTGCGTCTGTTCTTGAAGGCAACCGAGTCGGTGCAGAAACATGATTGTATTGTGAAATGCGCTTCAGGAACAGATGCGGCGTAGATCTCAAGATACGGCGTGGTGGGTGCCTTTCTCTGTACAAGGCTTCATTGGGTGTGTGTTTGATTGGAGGTGGGATTGTTTAATCAGTCATTCGATTTCGGAACCAGTTGGTCATTTTCAGGAACGAAGGCCAGCGCGATCTTACAAAGGGTAGCATCCGGGCCACTACTCGATGGTCGTAGGAGGAGTAGGTTTCCATATCATCCTCAGTGGAAGAATTTAGGCCCTAGAATGTAGCTTCAGAGGAACGGCTCACTTGTCTTCAGGAAATGGCACGCAAGTATATAGTGACCTCGATACAGTCTGTGGTCAGTGACGTTCGGCCACATGCGGGGAAGCAGCACGCGACGTTGGACGTAGAAGAGGCATAGGCGACAGTGGCAGATGAAGAGCCGGTGAGGTTGTGATGAGGTGATGAGGTGGTGAGGTGGCAGTGAGGCCGATGAGAGGCTTGATTCACCTCTTGGCGCCTTGCAGCATTGCTTCAGCGGTTTTTCATCTCTTCACCACTCAGTGTCGACTAATTATTCTGCCACTTTTATTGCATGTACCTCGTGCCCAGTACAAGTGTTCATCATCTCAATCACGTTTGATTCTTGATATGCTCGGGTTTCGCATCGACGTGTTCCACGAAAAGCCTGGCCTGGACCTTCGCCTAGGCGCGAGATCTCAAACTGGACATGCACCTCGCTTCTGATGCTGTGTAGCCAACCGGACATCGACGCCGAGCATGCTGCCAATGCCACTACGGCCACAGGCGTCTCTCGAGAAAACTTATCTCGGCGAAGCAGAATTTTGGCCGGCGGTGGCAGTGCAGAGAGTTGTTGAATCCATGGTCGTAAGATGAGACTATCCAGACTCAAATCAGGCAAGCTCCATTCCAGCAGACTCGACACAGTCGCAGTGAGACTGAAAGCCGGCTGCTGGAACGACTGGTTCAGACTTTCGAAATCATGTGGCTGATGCCTTGGGATACGATACGAAGCAGTTAGGCGAATCAAGCACTGGATGCTGCCCTGCCTCGACCCCTCCGGCTTCAACCTTGTCCCTGCCAGCCAGTCAAGATCCTCCCACTGGCTACTACACGTTTACGAAATTTAGATCGCACACCGGTGCTCTTGTAGCTATGCGCATTACGTAGCACAGGGATTTTTGAGGAACTTTTGGTGCTTGGTGACTGAGTTAGAAGGACAGCCTCGTTTCTACCGTGTTGCGAACAGGGAGTGCCCGAAGGGCAAAATGGGGTTTCCCATGCCTGTGGTACGGCAGTACATCGCAAGTCATTTCAAACATGTCTTGCACCCTGCCGCTGAACACGGCTCTAGCCTGGCCCGACATTCTTGGCCATCAACCAACATCTATTCGCCTTGGCACGTCTAACCAACCTGCGTCACTGGGAAAAGTTTGGGGCGCAGAATGGCTGAGCTATGTTGGGAAAGGTGGTAACGATACCCCTGCCTGCATGTCGCCAAGCCGTTGTGTGAAGAACAAGTCTCGCGCGAGCTGGTAGGACTCACAACTGCAACAGGAGCGCCAGCCACTGGCGGTCTCATGAATACGAACTTCGTGAGGAGAGAATGGGATATGCATAAGTATAGGATCCCCTTCGGGCTCAGGCACTCTCCTACCAACATCGAAATTAACACACAGGCACATACCGCAAAGCATCTTAGACAGAGAAGTGCATACCCAAGAAAACAACATGGCGAAATTCATCTTCCAGCTCAACCTGTTTCTCATGCTCCTGCTCACCGCTCTTCAAACGACCTTGGTCAGCTCTATAGAACTCACGGACTTCGACAGCATCCCCATCAACGACCAGCAGATTTTCGAAGGCGCAATCACACGTCCCGGCGAAAGCGTCATCTGTAATTCCAAGCAGAGCCTCATCCACAACCTCGAGCAACTCTCATTCTACCTCAAGGCCGATTGCCAAGATCGCAACAGGTCAGCCGTCGGTTGTTCATGCTGGCCTCCGAGATGCGCCAGGGGATGCACACCTACCCGCGCGTGCTGCGCTCAGAACACAACAGCGCTGGTTGCTGAGCTAGAAGGGTTCAATGCCTTTTATGCGGTCCATTTCAAAGAATTGTTTGGCGGGGCTCCACAGAAATGCGCCCAGCTGGAGGAGTAGTCGAAGCGATGAACAGGAGCTGCAGCCGAGCATATAGCATGGTGCAACTGGAGGGCTGATCTGGATGGGTGAAATTCGAATCTGTGGGAGATTTGGACATAATCGAGGCTCTCAAAAATCCCCCAGTCTCTCGTCCATCACTGTAGCAGCGGTGGCTTGGCCGATCCAGACTGAAGCCCGGGCAGCCGGTTGCTGTAACTAGCCGCGTCACACAAAATCATCCGACGCCAGTCATTTGAACACCGGCTCGCCGTCGGTCTCTCACGTTCGTATTCTGTCTCCCTATCAGATCACGACCCAGAGAGAAGAAGAATGCGTGTCTTGCATTCCGCAGCAGCCGCAGGCTGGCTTCTTCCGTGGTTCGCTGTGGCCCCTTTTTTGGCCTTCTCGTACCTGCGCAGGGCTGCGGTTTGTGCTCCTTCGCCCGCCGCCTACCCAGGCACCCAAGCACTCGGCCATTACACCAGAGGAAAGTAATCTCAGGCAACGCTGCCCTTGGTAATTCGTCAGGCGGACCACCTGTGACTCAGTCGATCGGATTCGCCGGCCGCGGCGGACGCTATCGTTGGGTTCGTCTGGGGCTCGTCGCCCACTGCCATCTTCGACGACCTATGGCTGCCTACCGACGTCCATTTGCCTTGCAGCTGCACAGCGTCTGAAGCTGCGGGATGCATCCAAGGGATAAGGAGGCACTTGTGTCAGGACTTGTACCAGGGAGGTGTCGTTGCAATGACGCTTTGTACGGGAGTAAGACTTCAACATGCGAAGTGATATACTGAAGCATGTTTGCAATTCCCGCCTCTGCTCTGATCCGCTGCTTCTCACTGTATTTGATCCGTCCCTCTGGCTTCCATCCCGCGCCCGTGAGTTGGGGTAATGCAGGGCCAAGATAGCCCCCCTCGACATCTGAGGAACGTGCCCGGCTTCCGAGATCTTCGTATCGGCTCGCCTACCAGCTGGCGCTCCTCGCTCCATCGCAGGCAGCTGAACGGTGAAAGTCACAGCGACTTATACGAGCTGCTCGGCACCTTGAACACACAGTCCGATCAGAACGCAACCCCAGGTCAACCGAGAATTATATCAGACACTCGAGCGGACAACGGCAAGCTCTGTGGGGAGGCCATCTATGCTGACACTATTGTCGGCCAGCCTGGTCTTCCCCGATCGCAGCGACTAATAGACAGTTCAGAGGAAACTTTGATAGGACGGCCATGTCGGCGCGCTGCAATATGGAAAGAGCTCTGGTTTCCCCTGCTGTGTATACACGGCTCGATGTTACTCATTCTAGGCACGCTGGCAGTCCTAGTTTCAGTCTACCGAGTGAAGCCCCAGAGAGGCCTCTTCTTCGACCCCACTGGATGGACCGACAGCAGGCAGAGGGCGTACATACTACTCAGCATCCCCGCAAGTATGACAGTCTCACGGCATTGTAGATGACGAACGCTGACCACTCCTCCAGCATGGTTGACCTTTGTTACAGGACGAGCCACACAGATCGCTGGCCTTCTCTCGGGATTTCTCATGCAACTGTGGACGTGGAAGACGGCACAGTCAATGGCTGAGGCATCCAAGCTCCCGAAAGGCGACGAGTTACCAAGTCCATATCAACTCAGCTTGTTGATTGGGATGCTCCTGGCTTCTCCCGACCGACTCCGACGATACGTTTCCTATCGATGCTTCCGGCGGCAACGAAAGAAGGCACCACGCTCTCCTCGGCTTCTGCTCCAAGCCGGACTCATGCTCGGTGTTTGCTTCCTCATGGCGACATTGATGTTCAGTGCTGATACCTTGGTGCACTACACGACGGAAACGGTCCGGTACGACCGAGTGAGAGTGGACAGCGCCGTACAAACATCCGGCCGCGGCTTGTCTGAGCAGTGCTTGGCTGTGAAAAGGGAAGACAACTTCGGCTTTCCTTGCTCGATAAACAATCTCATCTCCAATGATGCATTTCTTGCCGAACACAACGAAATGCTCTTCCTGTACCACAACCGCTCGCAGACCTCCGAGATTCGAGTCGTCGCATCCGACGTCGGCGACGTGGCTCTCCTGCTTCCCAAAACTCAAGGCCTCTCGCCATATGTCGACTACCGTGCTTCGACGATCGGCGTTACCTCCCAGTGCAAGCCAATCAGTCCGTCGTGTAACTTTGGCGTCTGGGGCCCCGAGGATCTGTACTCCGGCTTCTACTGCAGTCCCATGTTCTGGGGTTCTCTGGGCCGAGCTGAGACGAACGCTTCTGTGCCCGGGATCGACTATCCTGCCTTGGGATTCAAAGTCGATTCCAACATTCTGTGAGTTCATCCCCGGTTTGTTTCTGCTCTTGCTGATGGGGCGGTCTCCTACCCAGCTTGGCTTTCTTCATGGACGAAGACCTCACCAAACCCTACAACCCCTTTGGATACAACCCAGACACGGGCGCCCCTGATCCGGATATCCCGCTCATGCCAGATAGTCAACTCATCAACGAGGTCCACGTTGCCTTTGCCACCAGATTCGCGTCCACTGCCGTCCTCGCCAACGCCGATCTCTCTCTAGACGCAGGCTTCTTCAAGGGTCCGAATCCCGTGTACGACAGCGTCATCGCGTGCAGCTACCAATCTCTCCATGTCGAGTACACCTGGTTCAACGGGACCATCAGGGACGTGCAGACGACGCCGGCGCCCAACGGGACCATCTCGGAAATCTGGCACGGCGGGCATATTTCAGGCTCGGTCTCCGGCACGAGCGCCACCCTCCAGACGATTCTCAAACAAGCCGCCGTGCAGAACTCGAGCACGGCCTTTGCGCAGACGTGGGCAAGTCTATACTCGCCCGTCATCATGGCCACTGTCGGCGGACTCAGTTCCTCCCGGTCAAATCTGCTACAACAGACCCGTGTACCCATGTTGGTCATCAAGGTTTCGATCCCTGCCCTCGTGTTTCTGGGGTGGTGCTGTCTCGGATACATTGCTGTCGGGTGTGTCCTGGCCGTGCTCGCCGTACGCACTGCGTCGCGAGGAGACGTGCGCGACGCCAAAGTCAGACTGACGCTGTTCGGACTCGTTGCCTGGGCTGTTGTGGCGTCGGGCTTGGCGGCCGGTGGACCACAAGAAGATACTGTCGGCGGCGGCGGCGGCGTCTTACCGCGGGAGCAGGATATCGGGGAAGAGCACGACACGGTGGGACTACTGCAGGGTCGGAACAGCAGCAGCTTTTACTACAAGGTGATCGGTGGGGACAAGCCGCCTGACTCCTCGCCGCGTTTGTAGTCGTGGTCGGACGTGCTGAGTATAGATCCGACTACCGAGCACACAAGTCCGGCGGCATCTTGTATGGTACAGTGAAACTGTGGAATGTGCACTGTGGACTGTGGACTGTGGACTGTATTTTCACATCCACCAGAATCCTCTTCCAGTAGAGTTTTACTTATCTGCGGACCAAAACGTCTGATCGTACTATTTTGTTCCGCCGAAAAGCTCTGGTCGCACGCAGAGTTGGTCAGCGACACCCTCTTGTGTATAGCATGGCGTGGCAGCCTTTGTTCGCCCCCGCCTGAATTTCTACCTTGTACGGCGTGATCGAAACTTCTCGGCGTAGATATGTTAGTTAATCACCCAGCCAAGGATCCCTCACTGTCAAACATCCCCATCCGAGTTCACGCTGATCCTCTTACAATGTGTGTGTTATAGCCGCCTCGTACCCGGTCTTGACGCCAGATCCAAACATCAAGAGAATCTGGACGCCTCGTCGATCCCAGACCAACGTCGCCGAATTGCGGGAATCTGGACGTTCTGTGGGACCGAGACCCGTGGCGATCAACCTGTATTATCTTGAATGGGCGTGTCCGATATGACTGAAGGATTTTTCGGTTTGGCCGGCAATAGTACAACAAAACAAGAGGATCCGGAAAATCGTTGGAACAGAAAGAGATCGAGATATGAGGGTCCCAGGATTGTGTACCTCCATCCGGTGGAGGACCGCAAAAGGCGGGCTGAAAAAGCATTGATTCACCACACAAGATACCACTTCAGTCCGCAGCGGGTTGGAAGACACCACAAACCTTTCACATGGACAGGTTAGGAACAGCCATGGGGAGATATGTGGTGCATAATCCATCGAGGCCCAAGCAGGTATTGGCCCTGGAGGAAGAGAGAGAGAGGGCAATGAGTATTCCATTCTCTGAATAAGCTTACCCGACTGTAGTTCGAATGCCATGTCACACTCACTCCCTCGAGTCTTTCACCCTTTTTACAATCGCTGTTTGGCCTCGAGTGCTTCCTGGACGGGCTTTGTGCAATGGCCTCCTGGGAAGCCAGTTTGGATCAGTACGGAGGACGGACACTCTGACTGTGGTCTCTCTTTTTGGATATCGCCGTCGCAGATGACCCCGGCGTGTAATTGCACACAGTCGAACGATTCCTCAACGGGGAAATGTACACAGTACACACTCTTACCCTTTCCCCGGCTGTGGTGTGGGAGTTCCAGCAAATACGACCCGCAAGCAAGGCAAGAATTAATCAATGACTTCGCCTGTCTGCTAAAGATGGGTTCGATAGAATGACCTTGGCGACACAGAGCCGTGTGGCAATTGATTGAATCCGGTTTCTGGCGACGTCTATTGATAGCGACAGGTGATAGAGTAGGCCGGTACCCGGATTCATCATTTCTAAGGCGGTATCCCCGTTCATTCATATCTGCACTCTTTACTTGTGTGGATGAGTTCGGCCTTCTTAGAACGTGCACTCTGGTGTGGACAACTTCAGCCTTCTTAGAATGTGCACTCTGGTGTAGACAACTTCAATATCATTGGTATCCGCATTCCTCACGTTCTCAGCTGGACAACTTCATCGTCATGGTATATGTGATTGATTCATCCCTCCTGCCGCCCTTCACAAGTAGCCACCGGTCCCGTGTACATCTTATGCGCCGAAAGGACGTAGTTTACCGCAGACATCAACATGACGCCAGCGAAGATGACTATCGCCCAATTCATCTGCACCACGTCAGCACCCTTCATCACAGCACAAATCTAGACTGATCGCCCCGTCCATGACTTACCTCATCGGCTGTAGGCTTCCAATAAATCGGCCAGAAAGCCCAGAAGAACGCAAAAATCGCGTATACCAGACCCAACGTGTTGACCGCAATACCCCATCTCCCTAAGCTCCAATACACAGGCGGCAATGTGCTGGGGTGGACAATCCTCCGCCAGAGAACACAGGCGATGCTGATCGCGTACGTGGCCATGAGCGCCACGATGGCCAAGCTGATGATGGCATTGAACGCGATCGGAGAGCCAATGTAGATCAACGACATGACAACCGTGTATCCCCAAGTGACAAAGCAGCTGTTCGCCGCAACATTCAACTGGGGATTCACTTTTTTCAGCCACGTCGGAAAGGGCATACCGTTGTCCCTCGCGAACGCGAATAGCTGGCGGCTGGTCGATGCGAAGCAGGACACGGCGATCATGAAGACCAAGATGAACATGATGGCCGTGATGGCTTGGGCACCGGCCGTGGACAGCGAGTTCTGCAGTATCCAGACAAAGGGGAAGGCTTCACCAACTGCAGCCTCGACATCGGTCATGGCGAAAACGAATACCAGCAGCATCGCGAACGCCAGGGGGATATTCAGCATGTAGGCCCAGAACATTGTCTTGGGAGTCACGACGCTGGCGTTCTTGACCTCCTCGGCTTGATATCGATGTTAGTGCTTGCCACGGGCTTGAGTTTGATGGTGGCCGCAACTTACAGAGGTGAGCGACTGCGTCTGACGCAAGGACATTCCACATGGCTGGGACTTGGCCAACCATGACGGCGAGTCCCACTGCGCAACGTGTCAGCATGCCCTCACAAGACGGGGGTGCAAGTTCGGCGCCACAACAACCAAGGCCCATGGGTTTTATGAGTGCGTGACCTACTTAGCGGGTAGTTGCCCCCGTTATCGGCAAACGTGGTGAAGACCCCCTTCGCGTCGTTCTTGGGCGAAGCAACAGCAACCGTGATTAGCACGACAAGAAAGGAGGCAACGTGCAGCGTAACAAACACATTCTCCAACAACGCAAGCTTCTTAGCACCCCATACATTGATGGCTGTCACGATGGTTCCAATCAGAATGCTCGTCAGAGCCGTATAGTAGTTGTGGATCTCAAAGTCGGGGTTCTGCAATTGCACAAGGGCGAAGATAAGTTGTGCAGCGAACATGCAGTCGGACGCAACGAAAGACTCCCAACACGTAGAACTCAGCCATCCGGAGGTGTAGCTCAAGGCTTTTTGATAGCGCCCAGGAGCGAATTCGCTGACCCAGTGGTATTGCCTGGTAGCCAGGTCAGTTGAACTATGAGACCAGGTGATCGTGGCGGTATCCACTCACCCACCCGCTGTCGGTGCCATGGAAGCCATCTCAGCCAGACTGAGGACGATGAAGAATTGCCCAGTTATGATCCAGGTGTAGCTCCAGAACATGGTCGACGTGCCACCGTCGACAAGCATCTGGAAATTGTTCAGGGCAACAAACTCCGTGAGTCTGCAGTCAGTCCTTCAATGCTCGTCGGGTAGGGGAAGGTGAACATATCAAGTGCCCATGGTGCAGGATGTGAAGCCAACACTGCTGATCCAATTGAAGTTCCGACTAAACTCCTGTTTCTTGCCCATTCTGGCCATATCCTTGTCATCTTGGTCAAACCCATCGCTACCAGCGTCAGTCGTGAATGCTTCGCCTGAGACACCAGCTTGTTTCTCTTCAGGAGGCTCCATTGGCGGTCCTCGTGGGAGGAGACACGACAAGGAAGAAGTTAGACTGGGAACACTCAAGACGAAGGCGTCTTGTGGCTGTGACACAGTATATAGCCGCCTAAGTCGGTGACGATGGGGGTATCGCGGTCTAGATTTTGGCGGCGCCCCGTGTATCCAAGGCTGAAGGGATTCGTTGCGGACCTGCTTGTAGCGGTAAAGCTTCGAAAGATAAGAATCTCGGGAGTTGTCCGCAAGCATCCCTGTTGCACCAATCGATTGGCCACCACCGGTAAGCTCTAGGTAAGCTTTGTAGATAAACGTCCGACACGGTTAGACGAATCATCTCGTATGCGCCGACATATGACAAGGTGCACAAGGCGTCACCCATGGCACCGGTACCCAACGGCAAGATAGGGGAACTTACTATTACCACTTGCCGATTCGTTGCGCGAAAGGAGCGCCAGATAGAATGAAGGTTGCCATGTCCTTGAAAGACGCGCGATGTTTGTGAAACAGTGACTCGTACCCAGCAAATCACGCCAATCAGCTCATCATGTGCCAGGTGGTAGATGCGGCCTCCAAATGTACGGTGGACACGAGGCATACTTTGTCAGCACAAAACCAGTTCTAGACTGCACTGCGCGATCAAAGAGCCGTGCCAAATAATGTCACACTCACTTGTCAGTCCACTGAGCTGTGATCCCTAGGCTGATGGCGTGTTAGTGAAGCCGTCCGCATGAGCAAGACCCCATGCATCTTTCCAAATATCGCGGACATGCTCGCCGAGAGTGTATTCCCACCAGAGAAACCTGGCCAGGGAACGCTTGAAGATCTCCCAGCTAATGTTCTGGTCAATCACCATTTTGACCAGTTGCCGCAGATACCAGTCTCTATGCTTCGTGGCCTCGGCCGAAACCGCGCCCATAACAGTTGCCCAAAGTATCAGCTCTCGATAGCAAGTATCGGTATCAGGATCGCGAGCAGCGTTGTAGGCTGCCAGGGGTCCCCAGAGCTGCGCGGCTAGTCGCTGTCTGACTCCAGACGACTCCGGGGCGGGAAATAGAACAACGTCGCTGTATATCTGCAAGGCGAAGCGACAGATCTCGGATGTCCAGCAACATGCATCTTCCGGAGAGCTTGAATGGTCCGCCGGGGATTCGAGGCTGTATAGATCATGTTGAAAAGCAATGGCCAGTATGACGAGCTGGGGAAAAGGTAGGCAACCCTGTCCCCCACGACAAGATTGGTCCAGTGCAGACGTGATTTCGCCGGCTCTGAGGGCCAACTTCACAATCTCCGGGTGACTTTCAGCCAGCATTTTCCAGCCGCTTCCCATATTGAAGCAAAGCTCAGCAGCCTCCCCATCAAAGGGCAGTTGACGTTTGTCAGAGGCCTGCCGGAGATCCCTATGTACCGGGAACGTAGGACGAGTCCCAAGCTTCGTTGCGAGCATCGTATCGGCTCTGTCGTCACGTTAGCACACGAATTCCACTCACGACTTCAGACACATACAGAGAGAGATGATGCGAAATAGCGGGCGCGATCACCTCAAGGCTTCCACGTTGTCGAATCAGGAAGCTCAATGCTTGAAAGTGGGGAATACAAGGCTCGAAACAGCCGTACAGACGTATGGGAAACGAGTCGGCGATTGGACTTTCCCGGTATCGACTAACAGATCCGGGTTTGGCCAAATCACCCCCTTGTGCAGCCAATCTACTGAGGCAGTCAATCAGTTCGTCCGAGGGCGGGCCTGTCAGATTGGCGATACTGTCTCTGAGGATACTCAGCGCCGCGGTTTGGTGCTTTAACCGAGTCGCCAGTAGGGTCTTCAAGACCTCTGGATCCTTACTCAGAGCATAGCATAGGGTTACCGCTGATGAGATCTGTGTATGGAATTGAAGCGGCGAATGAACAGCAAGCATCTTGCAGTGCGTGATGTGGTTGGTAAGCGTCGCCCTACTCAAGCCAGGGCTGTTCTTGCCCCATATGGTTTCCATCATATACTCGAGGCTGTTGCGGGCGATGGGTGGTAAGGTATGAAGATCATCATTCGTGAATGGGTCGACTTGTCCCTGTCCTAGAATCATTATCGGACTGGGGAGCGTTATGGTAATGCTTGACTCGTCGTCGGGGCCTGGTAGGGTGGTGGCGAGGATAGTGCTGGCGGCCTCTTTCGCACCCAGCTGTTGTTTTACTCGGGCACGGTGGTCGGCCCTTGTATTCAGCACAGCCGTTCTCTTGGACCATTTGGTCACCGCCGCCTGCGCGGACGACACTCTTGCTGCGTGCGAGCGTACAGTCGAGGCTTGCAGTTCGCGTTCCCTCGCAGACTGTCGCGGCGAAGGAACAAGCACAATCGTAAATTCACGCGCCATCAGAAGTGAACAGGACACGGGTGGAACCTGGTTGCGGGTTTCAGGACCGTGAACGAACCTCCGACGCTGGCAGCGCGACAGAGATCCCACATGGTCAGTCACGACCTCGACGATGGTGAATGCAAAGGTGTTCTGGGATCGAGAGCACAACTTCTGTCCCGTAATGTCTCAGGCAGCCTGCGACTCTTCGATCGATGCTGAGAACCCACCAGGCGTTGCACCGCTCTGTCCGAAACAAAATCAAGCCCAATAAAGTCGACGGTCGAGCAGCGCCAAGGCCACTGCTTAAGAATTGTCGGCCGAAGCAATCGACAGGGATGAAGTGCGTAGGGCACCAGGAAACGCAGGATCCAGAAGGCTTGCAGCTTCCATGGTCTGCGTCAAGAACATAACAAGGGGAAAAGGTCGCAGAGCTGAAGTTGATGGATAATTAATTAAATGCCGCTGTCGAGATGCTTTTGCCATATTCGGTCATTCCATTGGCCAATTAGAACCGTGTACCAACCGGCCAATCGGCGGGGCCCGTGGTGGGGCAGGATTTTTAGTCGGCTTCACAAGATTTTGAGGAAAAGGTGAATTCGCTGCGTTTGCAGTCCGGAACACCAGCACGCCTTCCAAACACTGGTCCTACTCGCGACAGATACAGCGGGACTGATCTTTCAACCCCCAGCCTCGACATTCAGATCGTCTCGCGGAATCAGCTGACACCACAGCCATGAGGTGTGCCTCCCACTACACTACCGTGAATTAATTTTCTGTATTGACACATCCCAGGATCGAAACCTGCCACCTCTGCTCCCGCCCGGTGTACCCTTCCAAGGGAATCACCTTCGTCCGGAACGATGCCAAAGTCTTCCGATTCTGCCGCTCCAAATGCCACAAGAACTTCAAGATGAAGCGCCAGCCGCGTAAACTGAAGTGGACAAAGACGCATCGCGCGCTGCGAGGCAAAGAGATGATCGTGGACCAGAATCTGCTGCTGGCACAATTTGCGAAGAGGAGGAACGCGCCCGTCAAGTACGATCGCAACTTGGTCCAGGCAACGATCAAGGCAATGGAGAGAATCGAGGAGATCAGGGCGAAGAGAGAGCGGGTGTTTACCAAGAGACGGCTGAGTGGCAAGGCCCAGAGAGAGGCAAAGAGAAGACAAGACCTCAAGGTCGTAGCCGAAGGCGAGCATCTGATCAGGAAGGAGCTGGCGGATCTGGAGGCCGCCAGAGCGGAAATGGAACCGATGGTGGCGCAAGTCCGAGCAGAGATGGAAGCGAGCAGGGTCGTTGGCGAGGAGAGAATCAGACAGAAGAGGAAGAGAAAGATGCTCGTTGGAGGCGGCACAGAGGAAGAAATGGACTTGGATTGAAGCTCACGCTCTTTTCCAGGATGGAGTGTACGAGCACTATGAGATTACGATACCCGCGGCGTTACTGGTGTCTGGCGATGCGCAATGAAAAGGTTCAATGGGTAGACGGAATAGAGAGCGCTGTCTGGTGATTTTGGGATATCTGTGGCATATGTCGGTGATACTGCAGAGGGACTGAGCTTACCACTGAACCTCGTACCTAGATGACCATTGAAACTATAAAGATCCTGACGCCGCCTCATCCTGCACTTCACTCCATGACCACATAATGCTTGAAGTCCCTGGTTTTGACGTTCCGCTCGAACATGATGTCCACTTCTTGATAAGTCCTTCCTTTCCTAGAATTCACACCACAGTCAGTAAAAGGCTGAGGAGACAACGCGCACGGAGGACCCACAGTTCAGGCACGCGGAAGTATGACCAAAGCAAGCACAAGGCGGCGAGTCCTCCGAAAAAGAACCCGAGCTTGCCTCGCATGTTGGCCTGGTCCGGGTTGATCATGTACGGAATGGCGACGGTCATCACGATTCCGGCCGTAGCTTGAACGGCCGTGGCAATTGCGATCGTCTTACCACGAACTCGAGTCGCAGACACTTCGCATAGCAACACGAAGCACACGGGCCCAATTGACAGGTCGTAGATGAAATTCCAGATCAGCATCAGGACGCTTTCCGCCCACTTGATCCCCGGCCTGTTGTCGTAATTGGGTGCGCAGTCTAGGATGGCGATGATGAACTGGAGAGCGGCCAGCAGTGCGAGGCCTGTGTTGTAGATTGTTCGTCGACCGAAGTATATCAACAGCACCCAGGAGAAGCACGTGCCGAGGAAACCGAGGGCAAGGAAGCCAACGCCCATGTTGAAGGCTTGATCGTCGGGGAGCCCGGCGACTGGTCGATGGTCAGCTCTGGATCGGGGACGCGAAAGCACATCTTGAGGAGAACATACGGGTGAAGAAGTAGGTCGCGTAGCCTACGAGATAAATGCCAGAAAGCACCTGGATGGTGTAGACTCCGACAGCAATTTCCGTGCGACGGAGGTTGATTTTCTTGAAACAGTCGAGATAGGTGGAACCAGACTCGATCTCGCGTTCGAGCCTGTCGGTCTCGATGATCATGGCGAGGGTGGGCCGGACGTCGACGCCACGTGAAGCCAGACGCTTGAGCGACTTCTCTGCGTCCTCAATACGTCCCTGTCTCTGTAACCACCACGGACTGCAGGGTATCAGCGGAGAGCTTCTTTAAAGAGCCATAACGTGAAGTGTTACCTCTCAGGCGCGAATGGCAGGCCAATCATGATGACAAGTGGCCAAAGCCACTGAACCGCAAACGGCGCACTGTACGCCCAGTGGCTATCAATCTTATGGGTTCCAGCGATGACTCCGTTGGCGATGAGCTGTCCCGTGACAAAGCATATGTTTGTGCACGACGTGAGCACACCTCGAAGCGCCAATGGGCACACTTCCGAGGCGTATGCGGGCGCAATGACTGCGTAACTCCCTAGAACCAGGCCACCAAGCAGTTCGCCAGTCAACAGCACGGGAAGTGATCGCGCGAAGAACTGAATGAAGACGAAGCCGGTGGTGAGGATGATACACGCGCCAAAGGTCTTCTTGCGCCCGAACCATTCCATGGGGTAACCCGCGCAGAATGCTCCCACGACTTGTCCGATGGGGGAGCCCATACTCAAGCCAGTCTGCCACGGGGCTGAGACGATATAGCTTCCATTGTACAGATAGCCAAAGTCGCGTTGGAACGCTGAAGTGGCATACAGCTGGCCCAGTAGCTGTGGGTCAAATGCGCACCTGGTCCGACCGTTATCGACCTGCGTTCCCGTCTCGAATCTGGTTCACTTACATGATGACACCGATCGAAAAGAAGAGGGACCACCCAACAGCCGTCGGGTAGAGCTTGACAGCCTCCCAGAATGAGAGTTTGTGCTCACGGTCAGCAGCCGCACGCGCTTCGGCATTGATGTCGTCGATCGACGCCGTGGCAATGAGAGCCGCGGGGTCTTTCCGGGTTTCGATGTCCTTGTCCATGTCTGCGACTCCTCCCATGAGTGTTCCTGACCATGAGCACTAGAAAGGGGAATGAAGCAAAGTACAGGCAAACAGTGGTAGACGGGAGATGGTGGACTGATAAAAGCCCTCCCTCGTGTGCGTGCGTTATCAAGAACGATAAGAGGAAGAGATCGCCTCCATCAGTCTACGACAGAGCTCTTGACCCCTCCTGGTGGTAACGAGATACCAGAGCCCGAGGCTAATGGCCAGTGTCTAGACTTGTGCCAATGGCGGCAGGATGCAAGAAGATATTGGCTGCGCCTTGGCCACGAGAGAAGCTTAAGCGGGAAAGGCTCACCGTTATCAGCCTGAGCCTGATTTGACTGCAGTCCTAGGAGTGGTTGCTGCTCGCTAGGCTCTTCGATGCCGTCCATCCTATCGCGCGTCTTGGTGGAATCAAGGTGTGGACGGCTGGAGAGTCCAAGCGAGAGCCAGGCTGTTGCGCCGTTTTCTGGAACAGGAATGCAAATCGAGAACCCCAACTCTGCTCGCGTGCATGCTCAGTCGGGGATCTGCGAAGGCTGGGACGTGGGATGCACAACGCTATCGTTACCGTTACATCGGGAGGAGGAGAAGTTGGAGTTGGTAGAGCGATGCGAGGGACCTGGTCGAGGAGAACGTCTGGCACGTGATTGGCTGGCGGAGGAGGCACTTGTTACTGTCAAGCACACGGCGCCTGCGCGCAGCTCCCCCGGACAAGGCTGCGGCGGCTCAGCCTTGCCCCTCCATCAGGGGAAACGCTTGGCCTTAGTCATCAGTCTCACATCAGTTGGCGCTCGGGAGGCGGACTGGGCAGTCCTGGCAGTCGATCGCTGAGCCATTTTCTGAGCGTGCATTTAACAGAATGAGCCTTAAGATGTGCTCCAAGCTGAAGTGCGGGACCTTTGTAGAGACGTGCACAGCAGTCCGACATACGACACCGAAACTGCTGCCCCTACCATTACAGCGCCGACATGGCTGAGGAAGCTGTGATCTTTCCTGACCAACCTCTGTTCATGGTGGATCGTGGATGGCAGCGACGCAAGAAGAGGGCGGGAAAGAACTCGCCTCAGGCAGTGTACGAACGAGAGCTTGTTCTCCAACCATCGCGCGTGCCAGAGGTCACCATCACTGTCGCCAATCGACCTGGCAGCGCGACATCCACGCCGCCGCCCGACAGGGAGAATAGGCAGAAACCAGCAAAGAGCGACTCAAAACAGCCTGTACACATACAGTTCATGAAATATGAGCCTCCGCCACCCAAGAGAAAGCAACAGCATGGAGCGAAAGAGCGCACGCAGACTGGAGCCTCTAGCACGGGCAAACCGCTCTGCAACGAAACAACGATGAGATCAAGAGGCGTCTCTCAGGATTTATTCACTCTCAAGCCGTCCCTTCCTGGAACCGCGACTGCCCTTTACTTGGTTATAGACCCTGAAGTCAGCTCGTTCCAAGAGTTTGTCGGCTATTGTAAGTGCCCACCTCGGCCAGCTCCGGTGTCAGGCGAACCCCTGCTGACCGCCTACCAGATCCCACCCGACTTGCTGCTTCAATGTACCCAATCACCAAGGCAGTGACCCTCACTCATAACCCCATTGAGACATTCTGGTTTCCTGCTGTGGTCAAAGACGAGGTCTCCCTGCACACGATTTTATTTTCTTGCGCAATGCACTACTTTCTCGGTTCTGGACAACTGACCTTCAGAGATTCAGATCTCTTGGTGAAAGCGATCCTCAGCCGACTCAACCGTAGACTACATGAGGGGAAATACTCGGACCTGACCATTGGGGCTGTATCGTGTTTGGCTCTCTGCGAGAACCACCTGGGCAACCATCCAAAGTGGAAAATGCATGCGGCGGGCATGTCTGAAATGGTGCGCGTAAGGGGTGGGTTCCAGAATGTCCGGGATGTGCTGCACATGAAAATCTACAGAGCCGATACAGTTGGTGCTGTTGATACGCTTACACATCCTAACTTTCCTCGTCCGGTCAGAACAACGAAGAGTCTCTTCGGTATGTTGGCAATCGAGCCGCCGCGTACTCCTATAGAGGCGCTGTTTGTGGATCTTGGCTTGACGCAGACCGTGTTGAATGCACTCGTGGAACTATCACACCTTTGTCACGCTCTGAACCAAGCTGCAGGGGAGCGAATCCCCGTCGATCCCATGGCCTTTGACGAAGACGTTACCTGCATCCAGCACGACCTGTTGAGATCGATATCTCCGGATCAGGAAGCTGTTGAGCGACTCTGCGTAATCACGGCGCTTATCTTCATTCAGACTCTGACCCGGGAAGTGCCCTTTACGAGACTGTGCTCCAGCCACGTCTCGAAACAATTGAAAGAGGCGTTGCCCGCCCTCGACGCCGGCAAAGCTCCCGCCCGACTCATATACTGGATGCTGTTTATGGGGGGCCTGGTTTCCCAGGACACGAGCGAGAAGATCTGGTTCCGGAAAAGGCTGAGGGATTTTCACCGGTTACGGAATGATCTGGTGCGATGGGAAAATGTCAAGGCCGAGCTACAGAAGGTTTTCTGGGTCGACGCCCTGCAAGAAGCATTCGGGCTCGAAGTCTGGCACGACATTGATGCCACGCACCAACTTGCTTAGGGTGAATCTACAAGTTTGCCGGGTACGGCTCCAACCCGTCCCATCCAGAAACATGTTGACATACGCAGTATATAGCTTCGCATACTGCAATGTGAACCACGGCCTGTGCGAGGATAGAGGATCCGCTGGGCGTTTGGGATCTCGCGGTACAGCTTTCAACTCCTGCTGGTAGGCATCAGCACGTGCTGGTCGCCGTTTAGCGACCAGGAACGGATGTGTAATTTGCCCAGGCGGTCGAAAGCCACACGTAGATTCTTCTCGGACGAATACATGGCCCCGTTCAACCGTCTCTTTGCGGGACCGTCACGCTCCAGGGGCTTCCGAAAGAGCGACTGGGCCGTTCTCTCTTGCAGTCTTTTCCGGCTTTGCTCAAAAGCGCCGCCCGCTCGGTCGTCACCACAGGAGAACGAGAAGGCAAGTGGTCAAGGCTCGTTTATCTCTGCTGCTACGGGCGCCCCGATAGCTCCGACCGGAGGATTCTCTCGTGACCGAACGACGCCAGGGACATGATCAGCCGCGGGGTAGAAGGTACCGCTGAGGATCAGTCAGGAAAAGGTGTGGTGGGCGCCGTCGTTTGGGCACAGTATTTGCCTTCATGAGAGAGAGAACAAACAAGTCAATCCAGGGAGCGTCTATTCCTCGTCCTTTTTAAACGCACGGCAAAGAGGACACCACCGTAACTCTATCAAGATGCAGGCGTTTACCTGGGAACTGGTGCAATACATATACCTGAGCCGTGTCAGAGGTGTGGTGGCCAAGGCGAGATGAATCGGATCCATCTTCGGCGTCCCAAAGAGGCAATAATGTCTTTTTCTGGAAAACCCTCCCGCGGTGCACGTGCCACATCGGCGGTTTTCTTCTCAAGAATCCCGGCTGCCATTGGTGGCTTCTGTGCCTCACCGTACTGCGCCACCGGTCCGTCGCGCAATTCCGTCTCGTCTCTCGCTTCTTGCTCCCACACCATTTCCCGCTTCTGCGATAGCTCTGCTGCACCTTCCCCTCACTGAAATACAATACGAGATGCAACGTGGTGCTTGGTTGATGATAAGCTCTGCTGATTTGTCTTGTTGACGGTCCTGTGTCCTGGGTCCGAGCGCATGGCTCGGCTATAGAGTTTCGTTTCTGCGAGATGCGAGCCAGTTCATTGTAGTCTCTTGCAGGTAGGCAAAAGGCCATTGTGTTTGTCTTTGTTAACAAACAACGAGGCGCGCTTTGAGCAGCAACGACCAGTGTTTCAGGCCGACGCGTTGGTGGCCAACCTCTTCATCATGGGCTCCTATACGCCGGTCCACGACCAGACCGTGCACACAGTCCACATCCCAGAAGATGTCCGCGTTTCAGGCAAACCAACCCTGGACATCATCGCCGAGGGCGTCTCCTTTCTCCACAAGGACGGTATCATCGTGCTCGACAACGCCATCGACGTCGCCCACATCGACACTCTCAACGACAAACTCTCGCCCGAGGCGCTCGAAATCGCCAACGACCCAGAGCACCACTTCAACTTCGGCAAGCACACGCGGAACATGGACCAGGCGCCGCCCCCGACCCGCGAATTGATGTTCAAGGACGTTTGGTGCAACCCCTTCGCCGCCGCGATCCTGTCCGCCGTGATCGGCCCCAAGCCTGTCATTCACTATGCCAACGGGAACACGGCACTGAAGGCGGACCCCAAGGGCCGACAGCCCGTACACTCCGACTGCGAATTTGCCCACCCGGCGTACTTTCCCTTCGCATACGTCATCAACATCAACCTGGTGGACGTGACGCCTCGCAATGGCGGCACCGAGGTCTGGGTCGGCAGCCACCACGTGAGTGTCCACGAGACGCATAATCGGTATTCAGGACACGGGGACCGCGATGGACAAGACGTCCAAGGCAGCGACGGTGACGGCGACGTTGATGGCGAAGGCGAAGGCGAGGGCCTCTTGACCATCAAGTCGCGATACTTGGACGACCGGCGCAAACACTCGCCCCCAATCCAGATCTCCACCAAGAAGGGCAGCCTGATCATCCGCGACCTCCGCCTCTGGCACGCGGGGATGCCCAACCTGACGGACGAGCCGCGGATCATGCTGGCGTTCGTGGCCTCGCCGAACTGGTGGCAGGGCCGGTCGAAGATCGCCCTCCCCGCGGACGTGAAGGACATGGTGGAGCAGTGGGCCCGCGAGGAACACAGTCTATTGTACGACGCGGAGTGGATCGAGGGTGAAGTTAACTACAAGAAGTTGAGCAGCGGGGGCGTGGACTTTGATACCAAGAGCGCGGTGCTGGAGCGGTATAAGCCCGAGTTGAGTGTCTGGCCGGAGTATCGGCCTAGGTGGTATTGAGGCGTCTTCGCCGGCGCGAGTACTATTGGCTTTACGCAATAATAACGATGCTGACTCTGTGGTGAGACCTCGGTGGCGATTTATTGATCGAGGTGGTCGAAGTGGTTCGTTGTGTGAGAATTACACAAGGTAGGTAGGTAGATAGTTGGTGGGTAAATTTACGTCTCACTGACATCGTGAATTTCAACCTGCTCAGATCTCCAGCTGGCACAGTTCGCATGCTGCAACATACATGCCATAGGTTTGAAGACCTCGTCCTCAGGTATACATGTGGCCGAGTCCCAACGAGGGCATCCAACACCCCTTTCTCAGCAGGCTCTCATGCTTCTCAATCATGAGCGCGACGGGACCCCCAAACAGACACACCTTGCCACTTGCTATATTTGCACACGCCCAATTGGCCTGGCTGCTGGCCTCTTGGCTGACCACGCAATCGTAGTAGGCATCCAGCTGCTCGACGGGGCTGGAAGGCTCATGAGCCCTGATGCGTTGGAGCATTTCTTTGCTTGCTCTCTCATGCGTCTCAGGAGTATTTTGTCGTTGAATGACTCTGCCCTGTCGCTTGATGACACGTTATCATCGTTGCGGCTCGCAAGTTGAGGCCAGTGATATGGAGGTGCGAAGTCCCCTGAGTGAACTTCCGTGCTGTCCATGAACTTCTGCATATGACTGTCAATCTCCTCGAAGCGGGCGTTGTCTTCCGGACCGAGTGGCCCTCCACTCCTCGACTGCATCATGTTCTGATCGCCGTAGATGATGAGGTCTACGGGGATGCGAGTGGGTCCATGAGCTATGCAGCCACGACCACTGCAGCTTGGCGTACACGCAGTATTCCAGATGATGTGTAAAGGAAGTGTCCGTCTTGCCGGTCTGATGCGCGTAGAGACGGTGAAATTGCCATGGTAGAGGTGAGTGATAGTTCCAGTAGAAGGCTCAACCGGCACAATGGACCACTTCTACCGTCAAGATCTCCACGCGGAGGCCACCTTTCGGAAGACGGGTCGTCTGGCGTTTCTTGCCTGGAATACGGATCGCACAGGCGTGCTGCGCGTACACAGTTTCCAATCCTCGATGGTGCCGGAGGGCGAGAACGTTGCGCTCTTGGGTGTTGTCGCACAACCTTAAGGGCGGAATTGAAGTCAAACAGCCAACGCCGCTCTCGTGCCGGAGAACCCCAAAAGCATTTCTGAGGCAGGCTGCGTAGAAGGGGGAGCTGCGCCAATTCGCTGGGCTCGAGCTTCATGACTTCGCAAGCGTACCTCTCCGAGACCGCAAGGAGCTCGCGTTCCTGTGAGAGGCACCGGAAGCAGCAGCGTTTGAGCTTGAGGAGCTGCAGGAGTTCCCCGTGCTCACCACAGAACTCGCATTGGGTGGTGAAGAGAGTGTCGACAATCTGTTGTGTTGTCCATAAGTTACCGGCACCCGTGGCAACGAGGGCACGGACTGCATCGGAGCCTTCTGTCATGGCGGTCTGGAACGGCTGCCATTGCTCAATGAGCTGCTTTGCATGAGAGTTCGTGGCTCGCAGATCAAACAGCGTGCTGATGGGAGTTACAGCAAAGACGTGGAGTTGTATCTCCGACGGGAGCATACCGAGCATACCGAGAATAGCACAGGGTTTCTTTGCAGGAGTCCAGCGCCGCGGGTCATCGAGGTTGACTCGCAAGGCAAGCTCTCGAGAGTCGATGAGAACATTGTCGTAGTACCGTCTCTTCGATAGAAACCGGTATTCTTCAGCAGTCAATCGGCTAGCGTTGAGTTGTTTGGGTTCTGTTGAGGCCGTCTTGAGAGAGGAGTTCGCGGTTGATAAGTTCAAGGACTGGCCTGGTTGTGGTTGCAGCTATGATATATAGTTAGGAGTGTGAAGGAGATGATATAAGGTTTTGAGGCCAGCAGGATCAGAGGCGAGAGAAGCGGCCTACTAGTGATATAGTCACAAGAACAAGGGCGCTAAATGGAATGAAACAATGATTCTGCTATGCCATTCAATCTTTCCAGCTGCCGGGCAATTGCTGATCCTCGTAACGATCTGGTGCCGAGAATAGAGAGTGAATAGCGATTCATACATGGTCAATAGGATTCCTGCTGCACATTCAGAATCCCCGCAAAATTGATGAACAGCGGAACAATGGATGAACATCGCATTGAAAAAAGGAGCTTCGGCGCCAGGTTCACCTTTTTGACATGATTGACATGAGATTTTCGGTGAGTCTACAGTCATGGTGCCAGAGTCAGGCGCATGAGAGTTTTCACCTCTTCCAAGCCGTGAGCAGCAGTGCCATCTTCCTTGCTACGATGCAATCTGCGCCGCTGCAATTAACACTGTCTCTCTGTACGGCTTGGTACATGATCGACGACATGGTGGATGGGCGTGTGGAGGGTTTTTCGAGGGATGGGTGAGGGACGAAGGTCACATAAGGTCAAAGGAGCTGGACCCGAGATTGTGCCGAAGACTACAGTCACGTGAATGATCACCTGACTGGATGCACAATGACGTGTTTTGACAACAGCCAACTTTCCCTGGCTTCGTCGAAATAAATCTGTTGTTCCTGCCCATCAGTTGACTCTCAAAACAACCCTTGTGCCCTGTTTCATTCTCCGTCGCGTCCTTGTCGAGACTATACCGCTCTGTATTGTGCCTTGACGCGCTCAGAGTTCAGCGAACGCGTTCAAGATGGTGTACATACGGCAGCGAAACCTGAAAAAGCTCCACGAGTACAAATATTCTGGAGTCGACAAGTCCTTGGTCTCACGATATGTCCTCAAGCCATTCTATACCAATGTTGTCATTAAGTGCTTTCCGATGTCAATGGCGTAAGTGTTTCATTTGAGCAGGTCCCGAAATCTGACTAACGCTTCGCCAGGCCCAATCTTGTTCGTGCCTACAACACCACGTACAGTGAGTCTGCTAACGTGAGATAGATAACCCTTACCGGCTTCAGCTTCGTCGTCATCAATGTCCTGACGCTGCTATGGTACAATCCAACCCTCGACACCGATTGTCCGCCATGGGTGTACCTGACATGGTCCATTGGTCTATTCCTCTACCAAACATTTGATGCAGTCGATGGCAGCCAAGCTCGAAGAACACACCAGAGCGGTCCCTTGGGTGAATTGTTCGACCATGGTAAGTTCGACTTGTCCTCATTGATGTCATCTCTGACAGGAAACAGGTGTGGATGCGTGTAACACCAGTCTTGAAGTTCTTGTCTTTGCGGCTTCTATGAATCTGGGACAGTCCTGGAACACGGTTCTCACACTCTTCGGCACAATCCTGACCTTCTACATCCAGACATGGGAGGAGTACCACACTCACACCTTGACGTTGGGTATCGTCTCCGGCCCTGTGGAAGGAATCCTGACATTGGTTGTTGTCTACTTCGTCACCTATCTCAAAGGCGGTGCTAGCTATTGGCAACAACCCATGCTGCCATCGCTTGGTCTTCCCAAAAGTGGTCTGATCCCGCCTTCCCTGTACCAGATGGCCTGGAACGAATGGTACATGCTCTATGGTGGCCTGGTCCTGGTCTTCAACACCGCCAGCAGCATAAAGAACGTCATTGATGCTCGACGGTCGAGAGGTGAAGATCCCTTCATGGCACTTAGGGGTTTATTGCCTTTCATAGTCACCTGGCTTGTTATTCCCGCCTACCTCTCGTTGAACCCAGTCATTCTACACCATCATCTGGTGCCATTCGTGCTACTTGCGGGAATCATCAATGCCTATTCTGTGGGCCAGATGATCGTGGCGCACTTAGTCAAGGACAGATTTCCCTACCAGAACGTGCTGGTCTTGCCGTTGGCATGGGCGGTCATTGACAGCTTGGGCCCCAAACTTGGACTGTGGCCAAGTGCCTTGGGTGACGATATCTACCAAGTGGCTTTTATTTTCCTGTCACTCGGCCTCGCGCTCGGCGTGTATGGAAGCTTTGTCCACGATGTCATCACTACAATCTGTGACTACCTGGATATCTGGTGCTTAACAATCAAGCATCCTTACGTGGAGAACAAACAGAACGAGGGGGCTAAGAAGGAGAAATGAGTTGGAAGGTGGTGGTGTGGTGAATTTCACGAGCTCTCACACTCAAGCACCTGTGGCCTGAACACCAAGCAGTCAAATCATACTATCAAGGCCTGGCTCGTTTGCGGAATTGTGACAATAACACGGACCGGTGTGTGGTGGTCGTAGCAGCCTCCCACTGACAAATTTGCTGATAAACTCCTTCATCCCATCCTGATTGCTTCTCAGCCTCTCGCCTCCCGACGACTCAAGCGCCTCCTCGGATTCGTTACGAATATCCTGTGTCAAAGTCCCCCACCTGTGGAGATCTGTGCCGGCCATGTTCCCAGACAAAGACCGTCACAATGGTAAATAATACTGTGTTACTTTGGGAGATACATGGCGCATCCCCCAGCATGAGCGTCCACCGAAGTCTGCGAAAGAAAAGCCGCTAACAGCATTATCCCAGCAGGATCTGGTCCAACTTCTCACCACCACCACCAGAACTCCCTCCACTTCGGTCCCGCGCAGGTATATGGTCAGTGCTGCCTACTCATACCCAATCTCTGACGCCCATCTCGCCCCATTCCCTCCCACCCATCATCACGCAGAAGACACGCCAACAATATCTAGGGCACTTCTCCTTTCTCCCCTCCGATGCCTCCCGCCACGGATTGACCCGCGCCTTCAGCGGCCAGGTCACAACCACAGTCCACGGCGTCGAAACAATACTCCCGACGCGTGACTACCTAAAGCACACACCCGAAGACCGCCACACAATCATCCACCCACCGGGCCTGGTTATGGAGTCTGGATACCACAACGCCAAGCCGATGGGCCCTCCGCCGAACGCACCACCTCCACCCCCGCCGATTGATATCAAGACCGGAAGACTGCTGAGTGTTGCTGCTAGGGGCGGGAGCGATGTCGGTTCTATACATATCCCACCACCACCTCCTCCGCCTCCGCCTCCGCCTGCCCTTGCTTCGGTCTATTCAGCATATCATCTGCCACCTCCGCCGCCGCCACCGCCGCCGCCTCCTCCTGCTTCTTCTCATATCAGTAGCAACGGCGATGTCGAGCAATGCGGAAAGTGCCCGCATTGTTATGGGGTAAGCTTATATGAGCTTAAGCTCCCCTGCTAGCATCTTATGACTGTGCCTAGATTGGCTGACACGACGCAGTAGTTTGACCCGCTGCGGTGAAGTGAGGCTACAGTTTCCCCGATTGTGTCGCGTCTTTTGGGCGTCGGGGGCTTGTCGTGGTACTGTAGGTGAACCACGTTTGCATTCCAGGTTCGATACTGGAATTCCGTTGCTTTGAGGGTATTGGGGAGGCCATGTCGCTGGATTACGAGATATGGCGCAGCACGATCTGATCGGCGTCGATAATGTTCCGGCACACAGGTGGGCTTTTGCTGGGTACGTGGTAGCTTGGGGCCAACTCCTTTTTTGAACCTACGGCAGCGCAAAGGTTGTTATTCTTACTCTGATTACACTTTGAAAATAATTTCTTGAGGTTCGAGGGCTGGACCACATACGACAGTCCGGTGGGCGCGGGAAAGCGACTTCCAGGATCACGACGCATGAAGGCGGTGCTGGATCACGCATTAGCACGAAGATATACGTAGCGTCGCGGACATGGAGAACATAGAGAGCGCCTTTTGGGCATGATTTTCAACATTTTCTTTTCTTTCGTGCTCGTGGCGGTCTCTTGCAGCCGAAGCACTTTCGAAGACCATGAAGATGTCTAAAACTCCGAGGGTGACATTCACGAACCACGTCTTGTCTGTCATCACCATATTCGACGGGACCAAGCCACCTGAAATTCCGCATTTGGATGTCGATATTTTCGAGTTTGGGGTTAGCGAGGATTAGCGCGCCGCCGTCGTCGCCGCCGCGTCTGCGCCCTTGTGCCACCGTGCCAGGCGCTCTTGCCCAGTGGCCCCTCTCATCATCACCATCGCCATCACCACTGTCATTCAAGCAGGACCCATGCTCTGTCCATATCCTCGCCCCCATGTCCACTCCTCCACTGAGATCGGTTCGTAGAGTTGATGGCTCGGGAGGGGAAAAGAAGAGGACAAGCAGCAGAACCCGTAGCCGTAAAGACTGTGCTGAGCGACCTAATAACCCAGATCGGCCAACTTCTTGCTCGACTCGTGGTCCGCAGTTGACTTCCGTGCCTCGGCCAGGTGTTTTCGTTGAGCCTTCTTTCTCTCGTAGTATGCGGCGCCCTTGACCTTTCTTCTCTCTTCGAGTCTGTCGTAAGTTGTTAGCCATATTTCTTCCACGCCCATCATTTCTAGCCTGTCGAAGCGAAACTTGAGGCTTGCGGATTACTGTGCAGACGAACCTGGCAACCACATCCTGGTACTTCCAACCAACCTCATGCGCCAATCGTCCAACCGTGCAGTACTTCCGGCCAGGCTTTAACCTCAGAACTCTCAGAGCCTGGGGAACAACCATGCGTTGCTTCTTGTCATATGGAGGAGGAACGCCCTCAAAGACCTTCAGTCTCTCCATTGCGGCGGCGCCTCGGGCAGTCTTATGGGGAATCATGCCTCGGACGGTCTTGTAGAAGATGCGGGCTGGGGCGCGGAAATGGAAGGGACCGCCTCGTGTTGGGTTGTAGCGGGTGATTTTGCGGAGGTAGGCGTGATACTTGACTGTTTGAGGGGACATCATGTTAGCCTTGAACATCTGATTTCTTCTCTCGCAATCGAGGGGTGGGCAACGCACGCTTAGCACGGAAGAATTCGCCAGAGATGTTGAGGGCTTCGCATCTCACGACAACAATCTTCTGGCCGTTGAGGAGTTGCTTCGCGACCGTGCTGGCAAGACGACCGAGCAAGTGTCCCTTGCCGTCGATGACAACCTAGTGGGAGGAAAGTCAGTTCTATGCTCTTATCATTGATCCATTGATTTGCGCATTCTGTGATGGGGTCAACGTACGACGGGCTCAAAGGTCGACATCTTGCTCCCAGATCACTTGCAGAGAGTCGATGTGGAAGTGTTTCGCGAGTTGGGCGAGGACGTGGTTGTTGATCGAATTTCGTCAAGTCCTGAGATCGGAGTCAATTGTTGCATGAAGGTGCGCTTTCCGTCGCTGTGTGAATGCCAAGCCTTTAGTGCTTGGCACACGGAAGAACAAAATTCCTTAATTTGCAACTGGCGGCTTAGTCATTCTGTGGGCCCACTGAGCAGTTCTTCCAAAACTTCCAGCGTCCCAACTTTGCTGCCTCACATTGGGGCAAGAAGCCCTCCTACGGATTTGATATCATGTCCTGAAAATGCTCACAGAGAGCTTCATTGCCGCGACGCTTGCTGCAAACAAAGCTCCGGCTCATGCTACCGCTGCGTTGAAGGACGTAGGCCTATTTCTGCACGAGTTCCAACCACAGAGCACGCTCCGTCATGGGTTCAAGAAGTGTTCGAGTCAACCGGATTGCGTTGCCATCAGTGACTCGCACGTCTTCGCGGCTCAAGCAGACAAGGCGGTAGTGAATGTCTACAACAGAGAAAGAGGCAACCAGGAGGCAACAGTGCCATTCCCTGAACGAATACACAGCGTCGCATATGCCAAGTTGGCCGACATCCTCGTTCTAGGCACGGAGGGCGGGAAACTGATACTATGGGAGTTGGCCACAGGCAGAGTAACGAATTCTTCTGCGTCTCATTTGCAAGCCGTCTCACGTCTCTGCATCACCCCTAAGAATGAATACATCCTTTCTGGCTCTGCTGACTCGAGTATCCACCTATGGTCGCTAGCAAGACTCGTTTCCTTTGAGCAGCCGTCAGATAGCTATGGCTCCGAGGAACCCTCGAACGCACCCGCTCAGACTTTCTCTGGACATCGAACCGCCATCACTGCCCTTGCTTGTGGACATTCGCTCATCTCCACCAACTTTGCAGTATCAGCGTCCGATGACGGCACTTGCTATGTCTGGCATATCTCAACTTGCCAAGTTCTGCGGACGCTGTTGTTGCCCTCTCTCCCGGTTTCCATCACTCTTGACCCTGCAGATCGAGCAATTTACTTCGGATGCAACGATGGGCGAATCCAAGCGTGGGATATCTTCATGCATGTATCAAAATTGAACGTGCCTTTGTCCAGCTCTTCACAGCTCCCACCCATCCAGCTGCTAGATAAGGACAGCTGGTCGGCACCATCCTCAGACCTCGGATCAGCAAATTGCCTGACTATATCATACGATGGAACAGCTCTGCTGTCCGGACATGCCAACGGGGCCATCATTCGCTGGGACGTGGCCAAGCATCGAATCCTCAACGAAATAACAAACCTGGGGCAACCTGTCACGAACATCTCAATGCTGAGTCCCGAAGGATTTCCAAACGAGAAGAAAGCCAAATATGTCATCCCACAAGTCATCAAGCCGAATCTCGAATTCTCGTCGATGAGGAACAATGGTACGTGTGGCATCCCCGCCAATTACAGCCTCCACGTCATGATCACAAACTCGACAACTGGCCCAGAGCACGATGACTTTGAGCACGCTCTCACTGGTCCTGGGATCTCGCAGGCCATGCTCGATGCAGCAGTCCATTCTCTCGCTCTAGGCAGTGCTCCACAAGGACTACCCTCCACAGACACCACCGCTCTCGCAAAAACGGAAAGGCTAGAGGAGGAGGTCACAAAGCTCAAGCAGCAGCTCGCTACAATACGCAATGTCGAAGAGAAACGCAAAGCCAGGAAGTTAGCAAGGATCGCCAAGCGTGACGAGCTGGGCATGAAGAAGAGGGAAGCATACTTCGAAGCCAAGAAGCTAGGAAAGGACGGAGATGCCGCGATGAAGAGTTGGGAGCGTAAGGAGGCCGAGGTGGATCAAGAAAGTGATGAAGAAGCGCTAGAGGATAGAGATCAGATGGATATCAGCTGAGATTGCCAGAAGGATGCAGTCAATGAGCGCAGCGAACATCAATGGCAATTCTAACACGAACACCTTTCGGCAACCTCTCGCACACCACTCCCACAGCCGTCGATGTGTATGACACCCTTATGGGACCACTCCTTGATCAACTGTCACCTAACAGGCATCCCTACCGGACGACAAATACCCCAACAGGTCATTCTGCTTCGACGTCTTCGCTGGGCGGCACCAAACGCACAAAGCCGTTCATCCGGAATCTGTCTCGATGACCGACTGAGGCATTGTCCGCGCCCTAAACATGCGGCCTATACGGTGTTTGTCCTCCTGTCCGGTGGCCTGATAAGAAACCCAATTGTATGTATCCTCTTCCAAGGGATCGCCTCACAAAGAACAGCGCCGGAGTCGCTTCCCTGCATTTGGAGAGGCTATCATCTTCGTAGGCTCCTCCGCCGCTCCTTTACACGATCAGCGATCCCAACAGGATATCGATACTACTAGGGGTAAAAAATTCATCTTCTACACCGTCCGACCCTTCTTCATATGCTGCCGGGTCGCTCTAGCTCGGAGATTATGGACTCTTTCCCGCGCACGAGCCAGCTACGACGTACAAGAGGTTCAGCTCTTGGCATATCAACGAACCAGGGTACTGGGCCCGTATAGCAACGGTACCCCCTCTGCCCAGCTACTAAAATAATTCAAGGCAAACTGGGTTCTTATCCGTTACCGGAGGTCCAGGTGAACCATATACTGGCTTGTGCGAAAGCAGTCTTGGATTTTGCCCATGAGGACCTTTCCGGGGTACTCGGTATAAATCATTTCTTCTTCCCAGGATGGACACTCTATCCCTCTGATTGTATCTTTCACCTACTCTGCCTAACATAATTCACCAAGCGTATCACCACTACTCCACGTTCGGTTTAAGGCGGCATTTGACCAACCGCTCGCCTCATGTCGCAAGAATACACGAGAAACCTCCCTTTAGTAACATGTACAATGGGTGACAGGGTCGTTCGTAGGAGTAAGCTAGATTCCTTGCTCCCTGCGCTATGGTTAGAGCATCTTTCTAACATGGGTCTTGGTAGACTTGGTCGGAGACGTCTTCTTCGTACTGGCACTCAGTCTCTGCGCTCTGGTCTGGCATACAACTAGAGCAACGTCAACCACCAACGAGCAGGAGGAAAATACAGCAGTCGACATTTGTAGCGATGCTCCAACCCCCGACTTCCAACAGGCTATTGAAACTGACTTTGAGAAAGCGACGGCCAAGGACTCCGTTCTTCGTCCGTATGCAGAGCCAGCGGGAACCCAAAGTATCCTCCGGGCTTCGGACGTCTCCTCCAGGAAGGCAGCAGTACAGGCATGGAAGAAGTCGATCCGTTCCGGAAACTCGGCAAATGTGAGAGGGACAGCAATACTTGACGACTGCCAGTATTTGCCGGCAGGGCATGCCGACTGCTTCAACCGATCGTTTAGCCTTATCACCAGCGGCGTAGACCCCCTGATGATGGCGGAATCGCTGCCGCTGAAATCCTGCGTCTCGATGGGGGGAACATGTCCGTTACTAGAAAGACTGAATGGGGCGCGCAGCCGCCGGCCAAAGACAGAGGAGGAGCAAGACGACTTTGACGACGAGGGCGAAGATATAAATGGTTGGGCTGTGGTGTGAAACATCGTCCTTTGCCAGGTCTGGACACCACGAGAGCAAAGCCAGTTGAGACAACAACTTGCAGTCTGATCAGGTTATCAAGCTGTTGTACGAAAGGATCGAAGAAGTCGAGACAATTGGGTGCCTTTGTCGGGGCAAAGTCCAACTTCACGCTGCGTGCCCGGCGACTCGGGAGTCTGGCAAGCTCACTGCTCTCGACGCACGCCGAAATTCTTCCAACCGTCATCGCTTGTCCTATCGCAGTTCGAGCGTGGGAACCCCCGAAGAACACCGTCTCCCCACACCAATTGAACTTGAGGGTTGTGAAGCGTCAGAACACCAGCTGATTCAGCATTTGGAAACACTCAACTTTTTGTTTTCGAAGAGTTTTCGAAGAGTTTCACCACTACCTAACTGCCTCGATTATGAAGAACGCGCTCGGTTTGGAACCTGAGGACCGTTTTCGGCCAATCACTCGAGAGCTCTTTTAATAAGTGTGGGAGCTAATTCACGGTGGCCGGCTGGGTGCCGGGTCACGATATGTATTCGACCACGTCTGCTGACGCTCGGGGCGAAAGGACCGTCTGTCACACTGGAAGGAGGACATACAAGCTGAGTGCTGGGCTGGTTGCGTTCTATCGCCCTGAGGTTATGCTACCTCACGTTTAGCTCCCGCCGCGTATGCGGGAAGGAGGTCGTCCTGCCTACTGAATGGTTTCTTCGCTTTTTGATGCACATGGACTGCATTGCATGATTCGCATCCAATATGGACTGGTAGGCCGGGAAGACAGAAGTATTGGTCAAGTGAGCTCAATCAGCGTGAGCCCCGACGTGATAGGCTTCATGACCATTGCGACAGTAGACAATCATCATGCTTGAGGCAGGAATGGAAGAGCCAAATAGTGTACAAGACATAGGAACGGGTGGCTAAAGGTCACCCGGCGAGGTTTGCTGTCACTAATTTCTCAAGAGTAGAATTTGCGTTCTTGAGGAATACCACATAGCAGGACGCGATCACAGCCTCCGGCAGTCATCAGATCCCCGTCGCGACTTGCTTTGACGCCTAGAGACTATATCAGAAAGATCCAACGCATTGGCCTAAGATGACTGCATACGGCCTCGATGCAACCAGGAATGTTACAGCCCCCACAACTGTCTCACAGCTCCTATCACTCATATGCCTCTTCGCCGCTCGTGCAACATCAGACTTGGACCAGAACTTTAGAGCAGCTCTCAGATATTCGTTGTGACACCCGGCGAGATCTTCTCCAAGATGTCACTCAACGCCTGCCAGACCTTCTCACTGGCCACCTCCCCGTCCTTACTCCTCACAAAGGGCGACAGTTCGCTCTCGTCGACCTTCCCGTCATGCATGTACTTCCCGTGACTCTCAGGGCCGGCCGCGGCGGAAGCAACGAGCGTGCGACTCCCCACCTCAGTGCGGCGTGCGAGGAAGAATTTCAGGACCTCCAGGAAGAGAGAGCCATCTCTGCTCAATTCGCTGTGGCAGAGACCTGGGTTGAGCATGTTAAGCGTGACGCCGGAATCGGCCAACCTGGGGGCAATTTGCTTGACGACAAGGACCTCGAGGAGTTTGCTGGTTTGATAGCGCTCGTCCATGGTTGCGGTCTTTTCGTCGTCGAGGGTCGGGAAGATCCGGTCGGTGGGTTGCTGCCATTCGGGGAATTTGGTCCATCCGTGCACTTCGCTGGACACGATCGTCAAGCGCGGCGTGGCGTCGAACTGCTTCGCCGTGGCCTTGAGCTTGGGGAGCAGGAGGAGCGCGAGCAGGAAGGTGCTGATGACGTTGACGGTGATGGTGCGTTCATGGCCTTCGGCCTGCGAGTACTTTGACACGGCGATGCCGGCATTCTCGAGCAGGACATCGATCCTTTGGAGCTTGGAGGCGCGGTCCGCGAAGGCCTTGACCGAGTCGTATGAAGCCAGATCGAGTGACCACACTTCGATAACCGAAGGGTCGCATCCGGTTGTCCGTTCGATATCCCTCTTGGCGTCGTTGCCGGCCTTGGTGTTTCGCACGGCGAGGATGAGTTTGCTGGCGCCCAGACGGGCGATGTGGCGCGCTGCCTCCTTTCCCAGCCCCGTATTGGAGCCCGTGATGATGACAGTTTCTCCCGCGAACGAGCGCGTCGGATAAGCCGGCCGGACGAAGAGCTGAGAGTAGAGGAAACCCATCACGAAGGATAGAATGCGTAGCTAGTTGTAGAGTCAAGAGCAAAGAGCAGAGAAGGAGACGGAAATGTTGGCTTCGAAAGTACTATAATACCTGCCGATGAACTTACAAACTGGCCGACCAGAAAGCACCTTCACTGCCTCTCTTTTAAACCTTTACATCAAACCCACGCAGGACGAATGTCTCTCCGTGCGAAGGACGAAACAGGTATTCTCTAACACCGGGGCAGCATGACCGTAACGCAAACTCTGAGCACATACGCCTTGCATCGCTTTACCCTGGCCCTGGAAACTGGAGGGCGTCGCTTGGCGCAGAGACGACTGTCGTCAACACAGGGCATTTCAAGCAACTTGACACCCGAGCGGTCGAATGAAAGACGATGTCCGTTGAGCAGACACTGGAGACCATTCCGGGTCCGGCGAAACTCTGCGAATTTAGTCGTCATGATAGAAGACCTGCGCTACTGTCGAAGGTCCCTATGGGGCCAGGCATGGCGCGAGCTGGCCTCTCATTGACGTCGACTGCTTCGGATTTAAGTGTAGAAACCTCCGTTATAAACCTTCGGGAGCTTCTAGACCTGCCTAGGAAGATCGTGTCGGAACAAGTTCCAGCCGAGTCGTGTCGGCGATGACTCCTTCGCTGTGCACCAGATACTGTCTTTGGTGAAGCACCTACATAGCAGGAGATGAGAAACAGCACTGGAGAGTCTTCGTCGTTCGATGAGGCTGATTATCTTGATGGGACGCCTGATCACGCACTTCTCAAGGCTGCCACTTGCCGGAAGAGGCTGAGAACTCGTCCACTACGCTTTGTAATCCGGTGCCATCCGCCCAGCAGAACGGTGGACAGTGCAGTAGACATGGGAGACGTCAGTTACATATATAAAGGATGGCAAATTGGCGATCTGAAGAGTATTTCATTCTTGACGTCGTGTTTTGTTGACTGTGCACATGGCTCCACGTGCAAGGCAGTATCGCAGGATCGGAATTGGCCTCAAGGACCCTGCTACGGCACCACGTCGATGCAAGCTGGCTTCAGCAACAACTCTAGCCTGGCTGTCCTGCTGAGACCCGGACGCCACCAGGCACACTTCAACAGGCTGATTCGGTGTCTTTCATGGACCGGAAACGTAGCGTTGGAAGATATGCCAACGATATGCCCTCGACGTAAACTGAGATCATGCCTTCGCAGCACCTGCCTTGATGAGGATGATATCGCCGTCTTCGACAACTGCGCACGATTGTGAGTATTCGGCTCAGCTCAAAAAAAGGATCAAGACTAACCATAATCCTTGCCCTTGGTCATAACCTTCCCAGCCGCCCTCGTGGCATTTTCATCGCCATATTCCCGCAACGTCTCATAGTTGTACACAATACACTGGATAAACGTCTTCTCAAAGTCTGTATGGATGACACCAGCTGCTTGCGGTGCTTTTGTGCCTTTTCGTATTGTCCACTGTCTGACCTCGTCCGTGCCGGTAGTGAAGAAACTGGCCAGATTGAGCGCCTGTCGCATGGTGACGATCACCTTTGGAAGTGCGGACTTGGTGTTGAGTTTTTTGCATTCTTCAGCAGCTTCCTCGTCGGACATGACGGCAATACGTTCTTCAAAGGAAACCGAGATTGGGATGACGGGGTCGCCAGGCGAATTGGTCTTGATCCATTCCATGACTTTAGGAAGGTATTTATTCTTCTGGCGAATGTAGTCCTTTTCTGAGAGGTTGATGAGGTAGACAACCGGTTTTGCCGTGAGTAGGAAGAGGGGATTGATGACTTCAATCTAGACCTGAGAGTCAGCATGCTCTATACACCAGGAATAGCGTGCAAGTGATCGGACGTCTTGGACGATTCAGGGTTGGACTTCCTCTCATAACAGCCTCGAACGTGAAATTTGGTGAGGCTGCTGTCGACGAGCTGGGATTATGTCGAGCGTATAGCTCTTGTTCATCATGTAACGGCAAGTAGGAAATCGGAGGACTGCTCACCTCTTTAGGACCCCAGTCGGCCTTCCTCACGTCCTTGCCGTCTTTCAACAGCTGCAGGATTTTGTCGACGGTGGCTTCCTCTTCCTTCAGCTTCTTCATCTCGAGACTCTGCCCACCTCTTCTCGTCTGTTTGGACAGGTTTTCTTTGGCCTTTTCCACGAACTCAATGTCCTTCAACCGCAGCTCCTCCGAGATAATGTCCAAGTCTCGAGTCGGATTGACATCTCCTTCGACGTGGATAATTTCGGCATCATCGAAACATCGCACAACTTGGAAGATCGCATCCACGGCTCTGATATGTGACAAGAACGCATTGCCCAGACCAGCACCCGTCGATGATCCACGAGTCAGTCCGGCAATGTCGTAGACTGTCAGGTTCGCAGGGACCTGTGATTTAGGCTTGTAGTGTTCACATAGCCAGTCATAGCGGGCGTCAGGTACAATAACTCGGGCTTCTTCAGGGTCAATCGTCGCATAAGGGAAGTTTGCAGGGTTGCCTAGTGAGCACTTTGTGATGGCTTGGAAGAGGGTTGATTTGCCAACATTAGCCAGGCCGACCTGAATGACCTTGTCAGCGATGTACAGACAACCTCTGTGTATGGGATCTGCCTACATACGATACCACTCTTCAGATTGTTGCCGGGCCTCCCTAGCAGAATCTTCTTCTCCTCGGCAGCCTTCTTGGGAGGCATCTTCTTTTTGGCGTATCCGCGTTTCTGTAAGAGACAGGAAGAAGTCCCGGTTGTGATTGCGCGAAGAGCGGATTGTGAGCCAGGCTCAAGTGCAGATCCGGCTGCAAAAATTGAAAGACGGAGCGGAGAAGTGAAAATCGTCGAAAAGAGTAGGGAGGAAATGGTGAGAGTCGCGGACTCGACTCGAGAGCTGAATGCGCTCGAGATCTTTGCGACAAGTAGACCGTAAAATGTTTGCAAGAGTCTTGCTTCTTGGTGACTCTGAACTTTTCGACACGTGCAACGAGGAGGATGAACGCCAAGACAACGCATTTAGTCACGTGACAGTAAATCGACACCTACCAAGAAAAGCTGGACCGGCTCAGAGGTTAATGCCTTCCAAGCAAAGCCGACTATTCAAACCACAGAAGTGGCTCTCGAGCCAATACTTCAGCCACTCTCGCAGAGGAGCAGCATGGCTCTACGCCGGTCGTATGCGTCCGCGTTTGGAGCGCCTGGTTGTGCGCGGGAAGACTGGACTGCGTCATCCAAAGAAAGGAATCGACCGTCATTTGGTCTGGCGAGCGAACCATCACGCATGGACTTCTCAGAACCAGACGCACGAATACTAACGCCGTGCATGCCGCTAAAGCGAGTGCCTTGTTGGAATGCTCAAAGCTGAGGTAGGATACGGGCTGAACAGGACGGCTCCAACGAATGCCTGAGAGATGGCTGTTTCGGGAGCGAGCTCCCTAAGTCTTGCATAGGAGGTTGCACTTGATGGTCCAGCCAAATTGAGCCTCCCTCTTCAGCCGGACTAATCCTTGCTGACTGATTCAGGTGCCCAAGAGGAGGAGAAGGAGAGGTAAGCCATGTTCGTCGCTCGTCTCGATAACTAATTCCACATTCGTATCATGGGTAAACCCGGTCACACCGACGACTTAGCCACCAGTAAACCGAGCCTGGTGGTCTTCGGCGGACGGTCCAGGGAGAAGCTTGATTCCAGCGAAGGAGAGTTCACCCAACATTCCCCTTCATACAGTTTTGAGTCGTGCAAATCAACCTAGCATCTCTGTCGTCCGTACGAAAGGCAGCCGCAGAAGTAAATGCCTACACGGACAACGTCGACTTCCTGATCAACCCACCCAGTGTCATGGCCCCTCAAGTCGCGCGTCCTGACCATGGCGTTGAAGCACAATCCGCAATCAACCATCTCGGCCACTTTCTCTTCACGAGCCTCATCATGCAGAAGCTCAAGGCCGCGCCAGCAGCAACAACCGCAACTTCACGGACGTGGCGTTGGCGAAGAGATTGTGGGAGATCATAGGGAGATGGTTGGCACAGGCTCTGATCATGCATAGGAGGGCCTTCTGGATACTGTAGCTACTTGCGTGCGTGCGTGCGTGCCCTAGAGGATTCAGGGGGTGCATGGAGATAGGCATTGATGCCGAAGGCTGAGATCCCCCTTGTCACTATCAAGGTGCTGGCAAGGAAGACAAATGCCTTCTCTTTTTGAGTGTGTCATGTAGGCTTCCCGTCTGTAACAGCACATTGTCATCAGAATCCCATTGGTTGCACTGAGCTCGAAAGCAGACTTTACTCTCCTTCTGGTCAGAGCTGCCTTCTCTGGATTTCACTGTCCACCATCACACAGCAAGCAGCATCCTTCCTGTCCGGCCGTTGGATCCTCATAGCATGCTCGACAACTCCTTCTCCTTCGCCACAAGCTCCTTCTGCGCTTCCCAGACTCTGTCCCAGATTCTCATGCCCCGCTCCCACAACTCATCCTCATGATCTTCGTGCGCATTACCCTGCTGATCAATCCATCTGAGAAATCTCTCACCTTTGATGCCTCCTCCCACGGTTGCATCCTCGCCGTACAGGAATCGTCCGAAAGGCTCCACAATGTTCTTCAGGATCTGCTTGTCCTTGTCGGTAAAGTCGGCGCGCCATCCACTGCCCCACCAGATCGGCGCGTCGAGGCCATGGCACACGCCCACGTGTGCAGAGATCCAGTTGTCGAGGTTCTTCGCGCGCCACGAGATGCGATATCTGTGGACTTTGTTTCTTGGAAGAGCTTCGACACCGGGTCTCTGAGGTGGGTTCAACAAGGTGTGCGTGAGGCCACGGAGCGAAGCGTGGACTTGGCCATCCGCCACGATTTGACTGAATACTTCGGCCCACTTGGCGGCGTCTGGATCCTTGGCTGCCGGGATGGAGTAGAGCGATAGAAGAGCTTTGACGACGTGTTGCGGGTAGTAATTCCCCAGTTGCGTCATTAGACCCTGATACGTGGATGGCGGGTTGACGATCTTGTATAGCTCCTTCTCGTCGCTGACTTCGCCGA